TCCTCCTTTTCAGCTGTCATCTTGAAATGCTATTAATTTCTCTGAATTTAAGTTTCTCCATCTAACAAAAATTAATAATAACATCTACTTCATAAGAATCATTAATTAATTGGTTCAATTTAGCCATTCAACACTCATTTGTTGGGCATGTACTTTGTAGCAAACACTGTGCTGAGTTCTGGAGATCCAAAGACGATTAGGTGAGTTGATAGCCAGGGTCCTGGGGGTAGGATGAAATTAAATAAGGCATGTAAAGTAACTAGTTCCATGCTCATCACACAGGAAACTCACATTCCAGGCTGAACCATCAGTCCTTCCTTTGCCTTGTCCTGTGTGTCAGACATTGTACCCACTATCAGTAGATGAAATGGTGAGCGAGACACAGGTCTCACGCTCAGGACTTGGGAAAGTTTCGCCATGTGGTTAAGAAGGCAGGTCTGGATAGAGCAAGCCAAGTTCAAGTGCTGGTTCCCCAGAATTTGCTAACTGTGTGCATGTGTTAGATTCAATGCCCAAAACACAGAAGTTGAGACAGATATTTAAATGCAAGTAGTTTATTTTGGAGGTAATCCCATGAAGCATATGAGGGAAGAGGGAAGTCAGAGAAAGATTAAAGAAAGTTAATCAAGGACGTTTTATGAGGAGGTTGCTGCTATGGACAGTTCAGAGTCACACTGTGGTCACTCTGACTCTGTGGATCACATCTCAGAATGGTGCCATGGATGGACAGAGAATATTGGGTAATTTACCCACTACCTCTTGCTTCTCACTGACTGAGGCTTGCTCTGGAACAGTAGGAGCTGGCCGCCCCTGATCCCGTGGCTAGAAGTCTGTCTCAGAGACTTCACGAAAGTGGGACAGGAACTTCCAGGCAGGATTAGGTGTGTGGATGGGTTGCTGACAGAATCCCCTGTGGTGATTTAATCTCACTAAGCCTGTTTCTTCACTTCATAAAACTGAATGAATAATGTTCAACCTGTATTCCTTCTACTTTCTCTAATACTTGTAGCCCCTAGTGCCTACTGAAATCTATTCTCTTCTTCACCCGTAGAAAAGCCTTGTGCCCAGCTACACTTGGTGTTTTCAGGCTCTCTTGATGTTAAGAGCATCCTTGTGACTAAGTTCTGACCAATGGGATGTAGTGTGAGGGATGCGAGCCTGTTTCAGACCTGGGAATTAAGGTATTGAGCATATCTTTTCTGCACCCTTCCATTCCCATGTAGGCAACAGAAACACAAATGTGGCAGAGATCCAGCTCTAAGCAGACGAGAATGATGCCCTGAGAACCCCAGGTGGAAGGAAGTGAGTCTCTGAAAGGTCAGATAGAGCACAGCTGATCCACCCCATCTGGACCCCTCCACTCAGGATTATTTCAGGAAAGAAAAATAAGCTTCTGAGTTTTTTAAGGCGGCATATTCTGGGGTCCTATGTGACAGCACCTTTCTTATCCTCACCAGTGCGTTCTTTCATGAGGTCGTTTAGTAAACAATCCATGTACATATGGTGCTTAGAACCATGCCTGGTACCTGGCAAAGTTCCAGTAAATGCTTAATTGCTATTATTATTATGTTTGCTAAGACATGATCTTCCAGCATGATCTGAACAACTTAAATTCAGTGGGGGAGGAATGGGAGCCCAAAGAAAATTCGAGGTGTTGCCATGAGAACCACAGGAACTACATTCTGTAAAGACCAAATCACCAATGTCTGTCACATATAATAATACTGACAATGCTTACCATTATTGAGGGCCTACTATGTGCCAGGTGCTTCACAAGGAGCTTCACCTATGTTATTTTATTCACTCTCATAGCACTCTTATGGGATAAGTATTCATATCCAAATTTTCCTGTTGAGAAACAAACACCGTGGAAATAATGGAGCATTAATCTTGAAGGCCATTATCATCTGGGAAAAAGAAAGAAAGGAAACCCTACCTCAATCAAGATTCTCACTAAACTTTTAGATATTTGGAAATGCAGCTGACTTTTAAAAGGATACAAAAAATGACAAATGGGCAGGGAGTTTCTGAGCCATCTGAGGAGATGTTAGGTAACATGCAACATTTTAATTCCATTTTGTCTGGTTCCTCCACAGCTCACTCTTAGGGGATTCTAACCATTAATCACCCAAAGACTTCATGTCTACACTCGGGCTGCCTTTTCTGGGAAAGTGATATGTCTTGAATTTTAAAGTCTCAGTAATGGTCCCCAAATGAGGCCAGAGTACTGATTTTCATCATTACCCACACAATCAATGAATCTGGTCCTAGAGGACAGTAGCATTTTTCTCTCCTGGGTTATGACTCTGTATAAATATGCATGCAAACATAATAGGACTTTATATGGAAAAGTTTTGCAGAATCACTGCACGGATTCTGTATTTTCATTAAGCAGATATCCTGGGAACATGAAGGCAGTTCTCAACTCTGTGGAGTAAATTCTCTGATAGTCAGAACTCAGGAAGTATTTTCCCAGAAAAAAAAAAAAATTCCCACCACAAGGTTAAATCCCCAGCTAAGCCTCCCCTCTCCAGGGCAGCCATCAAGCATTTCCACCCCTACTCCCCTTCCTCTAATCCTCTCCTCCCTGGCCTTGGACCAGCCCAGGACAAATGGGGCAGATGCCAAAGGAAGTGATCTCTCCAGGTTGCAGATTTCTCAGCTTCCAAGAGGAAGGAGAAAAAGAGAAAAGTCACAATCCCCGTTGGAAAAAAAACAACGGAGGCCAGGGGCCACGAGGACCTCATGGCAGTAGCCGTGACAAGGATTGCTTCTTTGACCACACTTTAGTCAGGCTCCTTCGAGTTCTCTTAGCTAGGTCTTGTCCTGTGCCTGCAAACCCCAGCCTTAGCAAAGAATCCTGCTAAGCCAGTTTATCAAAAACACCCCCCATCTTTGGTAGCCAATTAAGTTGCTCATCTCACACTCTTGAAATTCGTCTTACCACCCACCACCCACCTGTAACACCTAACAAAATTCCTCCTAGTCACCTTCCATCCCACCCCTCATCCTGCCCGTTGGCTATAAATCCCCACTTGTTCCTGTGGTATTCAGAGGTGAGTTCAATCTCTCTCCCCTATGGCAATAGTCGAATAACGTCTTCCTTGACATTTTTAACAGGTGTCCAGGAAATTTTTTTCTCTTTTCTTTTCTTTTCTTTTCTTTCTTTCTTTCTTTTTCTTTTTTTAAAATGTTTATTTATTTTTGAGGGAGAGACAGACAGATCACAAAGTGGGGGAAGGAACAAAGAGAGAGGGAGACACAGAATCTGAAGCAGGCTCCAGGCTCTGAGCCTTCAGCATGGAGTCCGATGCAGGGCTCGAATTCAGGAACAGTGAGATCATGACCTGAACTGAAGTCGGACACTTAACGGACTGAGCCACGCAGGTACCCATCTTCCTTCCTTCCTTCCTTCCTTCCTTCCTTCCTTCCTTTCTTTCTTTCTTTCTTTCTTTCTTTCTTTCCTTCTTTCCTTCTTTCCTTCCTTCCTATTTTATTATTTGTTAATAATAATTTTTAATACTTCTTGGCAAATAGGATTGGAAAATCTCTATTTTGTATGACTATAGTGGGCTGTGGATTTTGTGTAAACTATCTAGATATGTATCCTGGATGGAGACTCCCATAGCCAGGTTTTTCAACAACTTGGAGGGATAAGCTGAGTTTTCCTGTTCTCTCTTATTGACCTTCTGTTACCCTCAGGCAAGTTCCCTAATCCAGACAGGTGTTATGTCTTTGTTAAATCAACATCTGTTAAGTCCAGCACAAGGTGACAAATGTTGGGTGGCATTCAACAGTGAGCCACAAGAGACATCCCCATAGAGAAGTACACAACGTGCTTCAGGGAGTCACAGAAGAAGACCCTGGGAGGAGGGGAAGACTTGTCCACAAGGGTTGTTGGTGGAAGTCATGTGAGGAACTTACTTTGCTTGTGACTCTGTAGGCTGCTGAATAGGGCATTAGTTTGCATGAGGGGCTAGTGTAAGTTTAAGGCCCCTGCAATCAGCTTGGCCAAACTAAATGGGTGCCAAGGCAGCAACCCCATGGAGTAACTGATTAAACCCTCAAGCACCAGCCTGGATGTCCTTATCCTTCGAGGTAGGTGAGAAGAGCTGCTCTCACCAAGTCAGAGAGATTGTCCTGAAGCCCAGGGAGGAAACCAGGTGAGGATGCTTTGTGAAAGGTCAAGGTATAAAAAGGGAGTTGTGGTATTTCCTAAGGAAGAAGCAAGTATTCAGGTGATACTGAGACATTTGGGGAACTGCTGACCACATATTAAGTGAAAAATGCAGGCAACAAAATGGCATAAGCAGTGTTATACTAACTTTGAACTAAGCCATGTGAAGATAAAGGTAGGAAAGAAAAGCAGTAAAATGTCAAACGTGATGCCTTGGCTAAGGAGCCTATTTTACATCAGCACGCATCTTCTATATTTTGTTCACCGAACATTTACACCTTTAGAATGAAACATAAAGACGAATAGTATGTGGATTGGAGTCTGTGGTTGGAAACTGTTTGAGGGGCTTCCGATACTAGGGCTTAAAAGAGGAGGTTGTATTTCAGAACCTTCCTTCCTTACCTCCCACCCCCCATGGCACTTCCTGCCCCCCCCCCCCCTTCCTCCTTGCCTCCAGCTCCCTCTTGCTGGTCCCCAAAGAGAAAGCAAATGTTTCTTTGTCTGGAGCAAAACTGTTTCCCTCACACTCATGCCCTTCCTCTGGCTCATCTTCTAAATCAGTGTGTTTCCCTTCCAAAATACAACGCCCTTCCACACGTGAATCCTGTTGAATACACTTTTCTCCAGCCCATTATACGAGGATATTAATCCATGCTTGCCCTACCTCGCTGCTATTTTTTTTTTTTTTTGCATGTGAGTATTGAAAGGGCTAGCATCTGAAAGTACTTTATAAACTCATATTTCTTGGTTACTTTCATTGTAATACTTATACTGCATTAGTTGAATTAGAACTGAAAGTTTACTTGTCTTTCTCCTGTTCCAGACCACAAATTCTGAGCACAGCATTCTCCATGATGTGCTCAAGGCCCGGCATGGGGTAGGTGTTCAAAATATTTGTCAAAGGTAAAAATCAACATATTTGATGAAAAATGGGAATTTAACCTGAGGGTCATTTCCTTGGTGAGAAATGGGACTGTGGAGCAGGTCACAAGCCACCCAGCAGGGTTCAAATCCCAGCTCTACTCATGCTGTACCTGTGACCTTGGGCAAATTACTCAAGCTCTCCACACCTGTGTTCTCATTGGTAAACTAAAAATAAGGATATCAGCTACCATCCACATCATTGTGAGATTATTAATTAAGACACCTGAAATGCTTAGAACAGTTCCTGAAACCCAAGTAAGTCTTCATGAAATGGTTGTTTCTATTTTATGGTTAGGTTAAAGATTCTAATACTTTCCCAGATCAGCGACAGAGAGACTCAGACATGTCCCTGCCATCTCCCTCCCCTTCCTTGCCTAGAAGGTTTCCTCCAAAACCAAAATCAGTACTAATATGTAACATCCCAGCAGCTGCAACCACTTTCTGCTTTCCATTGCTCTTATCAACGTACAATGTCATCTCCTTAACCAGAGGATCCGTGTAGTGGTGGTAGGTTTTACACCTGCTTCCTGTTTATATTGCCAAAAACACTTATTTAGCTCAGTGCTTCACACATTCTAGACTTTCAAGACTGTGTGATAAATGGGGGGATGGGGGTGGCGGGAGGGAGGGGGAGGTAGCCATAACGGGGCTGATTTCCCAACCCAAGGAAAGGTAGGAGTAGTTTAGGAATGTGGGTAGGAGATACTGAGTGGGCACCCATAAGCTGATGGAGGTCAGTAGTTTTTAAACTGCAGCTGTGGGAGTGTGTGATACTGTGGTTAATAATAACAGACATTTAGCCTTCCATTGTTCCTGGCACAGACATCCTAAAGACCTTAGAATTTCCTAGGTGGTACGAATGGCAAAGTATCTTTTGTTATGTTAATGAGGTGAGTTAGGGACCCCACCTGGGAATGAGAGACTGGTTGCCAGGGGAACCAACATTCAGTTGAACCAATTTTCAGTCCCACCCCCTGACCTCCTGGGAGAGGAGAGGGGCTTGAGGTTGAACCAATCACAAGCAGTTAATGATTTAATCAATCATGCCTATGTAATAAAGCCTCCTTAAAAAGCCAAAAGGACTGAGTTCAGGGCCCATACTCTGAGAGGGCATAGAAGTTCTCTGTCCATTCCCCATACCTTGTCCTATGCATATCTTCATCAAGCCAATTCATATCCTTTAATATCTTTTTAATAAACTGGTCATTCACGGAGTAAATTGGTTTCCTGAGTTCTGTGAGCTGCCCCAGCAAATGAATAGATTCCAAGGTAGGGAGGGTGTGGGATCCTCTGATTTATAACCAGTCAGTCAGAAGCACAGGTGACCACGTGGACTTGGTCTGGCATCTCCCGGGGGTGGGGAGCAGCCCTGTGCGACTGAGCCCTTAATCTATGGGACCTGACGCTCTCCTATGTAGAGAGTGTCAGAATTGGGCTGCACTGTAGGATACCAAGCGGATGTTGCAGAATTGTGTGGTGGGATAGGGCCCTCCCTCCCACACCCTGCCCCTCAGTCCACACGTTGGAATTGGGTATAAGGTAGCAAAGGGGGTGGAGGTTGAAGAGGAAGAGGCTGACTTCCAGCACACCGCTCCCACCCTTCCCACTTCGGTGAAGGCAACTTCAACCTCACTTTTATTTTCTTCTGTCTCCGTTATAGAGGCTTCATCTGTGCATACGAGTCTTCTGCTTTACCAAAATGTAGGAATGATCATTATCCCTTCATGCCTATTCAAGTGCTGGCTCGATTGGATAATTCGATACTTAGGATTCATTTCAAGTCCCCATTGCTGTCTGTGTTGACTTGAGAATGCTGTAAGCATCTACTGTAATCGTCTAGAATTAAGGGTGATAGTGTGTTTCCAAGGAGAAATGTTTCTGATGAATTCACTGTAGACCTTTCATTACTGCCACAGTGTAATTTTCAAAAAGGTAAATGCAAGTTTCTCATATAAGTATAAAATGAACACATGACAGATTTTATTTAGCATATTAGTTAATTGGGGAACTTATAAGATATTAAAACCAGCACATTTTTATTTATGTATGTATGTATGTACTTATCTATCTGCAGTAGAGTCAACGTACAATGTTACACTGGTCTCAGGTGCACAACATAGTGAAACCAACACATTTCAAGTGCTCTGTGTCCACATGTGGCTTGTAGCAATCATATTGGACAGTGCAGATAAAGAACATTCCCATCACTACAGATGATTCTTTTGGAGATCATTGCTTTAGATAATAGTAAGTTCTATAACTTGGGGGAGGAAGCAGCATTTGGGTTGAATGCCAGAGAGCTCTGTTAAAACATAATGAAGGGCCGTTTAGGCTGAGAGTTGGTGTCAAAGCTCTGAGTCAAGAAGAGCAGGAGACAAGAGGAATAGAAGGAAGGCTGGAGAGAGGGAGGAAAGGAAAATTCTAAAAGTACATGGAATTTGCTTGTGACTCTAACAGTAGGAGCCAAGTTTTTCTTTCCCTCTTTCTAGAAGGACTCACTTTGGTAAACCCAGCTGTCATGCTCATATGTCAGGAATCTATGCTTTCATTTTATGGTAGCCTTACATTTTGATGATCAAATCCTAATGCAAACACTGCACACAAGAATGTTAATTATTTAATCATATGAAAGACTTGGATGGCAGCCCAGGGCAGTAGTGGTTCTGGTTAGTGTGGGCCTTTGCTATTCTGAGAGATTTGGGGTTGTTATTCATATATTTCTAGATTTTTCTCTGGAGATCTGGCACAGGGATTTGAGGGCCTTTTCCTGGGGGGAAACTGGAGGGAGAGGGGACTCTGATTTGAGTGGGGCTGCTCGTACGGGTCTAGACATAGGAATGGTCCCAATGGAAATCTGTGAGATGAAACCTTGCTAAGATACTTTCAGAGAAATGAAGTCTAACAGGCAACTTAAAAGTTTTCTTCCTGTGTTGTGCTTCCCTTACTTACTCTATTTTAAAGTTTTTAGTGATACCCAGTATCAGCTCTATGTTAACACTGACTTTTGAATAAAGTGTGTGGTAAGGCAAACTAGGGAAGGCTAAAGCACCAAAGGGTGAAATAAGGATATGACCAGAGGTAATTAGGAAGAAATCTAGTACAGATAATCATCAAGAAAAGGTAATTCTCCTAGGCACTTGAGAGAAGGCTAGAATTCCTGCAAGATGGAGGGTTACTCAGAATGCTCTACAGCTTGATGACACTTGAATTACATAGTAATCATTACAGTAATTACCATAATGAATTGAATACCTCCTCTAACCCAGATGCCATGTTCACCTGCATTGTCTCATTTAGTCTCCACTTGAGTTACATAGTAATCATTACAGTAATTACTGTAACAAATGGAACACCTCCTCTATCCAGATACCATATTTACATGCATTGTCTCATTTAGTCTCCACAATAACCCTGTGGAGTTGATACCCCAATTCATAGAAAATGAAATTAACCACTAACAAATAACTCCAAATCTCAGAAGCTTTCTGAAGTAGAAGTTAATTTTTCACTCAAGTAAAATGAAAAAGGGTATTCTTCATGAGCATGGAGTTCTCCTCCAAAGGCCCACGAGGACCCAGACTCCTTCCACCTTGTGGCTCTGCCATGGTCAACAAGACTGTAGTGATAATCTGTATCTCCCGAGTAGAAAGGAGGTGAGCTTTGTCCAGGGAGTGCTTTATGGGCTTGCCCTGGAAGCATTGCCTGTAGCTCTTGATGACAGCCCATTGGCTAGAAGACAGTCTCATGGCAACACCTCACTTCAACTGGGCTGGGAAAGGAAGACTAGCTGTTTCCTAGGGGAAAAAATGAGTAGGGGAAATGAATAGAATATCTAGTCTCTCCCATCTCAGGCAATTATTCTTGTGCTTGATCTAGGAATGCCAGAGGAAGGATTTAAAATGATTTTTTTTTTTTTTGTTTATTTATACACTGCTTGTATACATAAGTTTTAAATTTGGGGGCAGTTTGGTTTATCCTTACTGAGTTTTTGATTTGTAAGCTCCTGTATACAAACTGGACTTGAGATAGTTTAACAAATTACATCTGTAACAAAAAGTGAAAAGACAGCATTAGCTTTGGAACCGATAAATCTGGTTTTGGGGCTCGTGGGTAGCTCTGTCAGTTGGGCATCAGAATTTGGCTCGGGTCATGATCTCACAGTTCTTGGGTTCCAGCCCTTCGTCAGGCTCTGTGCTGACAGCTCAGGGTCTGGAGCCTGCTTTGGATTCTGTGTCCTCCTCTCTCTCTGCCCCACCCCTGCTTATGCTCTTCTCTCTCTCTCTCTCTCTCTCTCTCTCTCTCAAGAATAAATAAGCATTTAAAAATAATAATAATAATCTTGTTTTCTTCATTGGTAAACTGTAGAGAATAGTATTTGCTTTACTGGGTAATTATTATAACTAGATAATGCACAGAAAGCCCCCCGAAATATGCCTGGTACATAGTACAAGCTCAATAAATAGTAGCTCTTCTGATGCAATTGCTCTCATTAGATACATAAGAATAAGGTGAAATGAGGTTTAATTAACAGGAGAGAGTCAAAATATTTAATACATGATTGTCTTAAAACTTTGAAAAATGGTGGGGCGCCTGGGTGGCGCAGTCGGTTGGGCGTCCGACTTCAGCCAGGTCACGATCTCGCGGTCCGTGAGTTCGAGCCCCGCGTCGGGCTCTGGGCTGATGGCTCGGAGCCTGGAGCCTGTTTCTGATTCTGTGTCTCCCTCTCTTTCTGCCCCTCCCCCGTTCATGCTCTGTCTCTCTCTGTCCCAAAAATAAATAAACGTTAAAAAAAAAAAAAACTTTGAAAAATGGTAAAGAGGTTGAAGTTAAATTCTGAGAAACTTAGTAGCCAAACCAGTGGGAAACATGATCATAGCCCACGTACAGAGCATGGAAACATAGCAGTTGTCTGGAACAAAAACAGAATTTCCTGACACTGAAGCTTGAGAGAAATTTTAGGATAGGGACAATGGTTTAGGAAGTGGGTCACATTCTCAACCAAAGCCCTCAAATGAGTAACAAATGTTCTAGAACCATCTCTTATTGTCATAATTTCTCTCATGGGCACACTACCAAAACCAAATTTGGGGAGGAAAAAATCCCAAAACATTAAATTCTATAAGGAATAACAAAATGGACTCCAAGTAGCATTCTGATTATTTCACTTGACCCAAAGACAACACTCAAACATCCACAAAAATGAACACATCCTTTATGCCTTCGCTACCCAAAGGGGGTACCAACACACAAGAATGTATGCAGAAACAATCCAGAGGGCAAGAAGAGAAAATATTGCAACTCCCAGCTGCATTTGTATTTATCCAATCCTATTCGGTTTCTATTTTTTTCACAACATATGTATTTTCCTAGTACTCCATGCATACAACCTGTTAATAAATGAATATACCAATATTGGTGGAATATGTTCAAAAGTGTTTCTTTTTAACTTATATGATCAAAAAGCATGGGGACCTCTGTTTTAGTTAACTGTCCATAAATACTGAATTTATTTCTTTTACCTCAGTTCACCTTTTAAGGAAAATTGCAAAGCAGACCACTAAGGCTATGTACTCTGACCAAAGCCTGTAAGGTTTTCATTTTTTTGAGTTTCCCCTGCTTTGGGGAGGCACTATGATAAGTGAAAAAGACACCAATAATTGAGTAAAATACAGTGGTTATATTCAAATACCACCACAGTCAAATACAGCTGAGTGTCCTTGAGCTAGCGGGAATGATGACCTCACAGAGTGGATGGATGGGGTGGATGGCATGTAGGTTAATGAAGGCAGGTGCCCTAAACTGGGTGCTAAATGCACAGTAGGTACTCAGGGTAGGTCTCTTGCTTCCCCTTAAGTGTTCTTGAGGAGTCGGCTGCTTTCCCCCAGACACCGGGCCTCTCGTTTATTCATCCCTGGAGCAGATTGTCCTCAGAGAAATATTTGGTCAGATTTGGCTGACATGATTCCCTTCAGGTGATCATCTAATCATGACATCAGGACTATGCTAAGATCTCTGAAGTCAATATTTTGGAGAACAGAGTTCCTACCAGGTAAAAATTAAACACTGTGGTAAGGTAATATTCAATTCCCTTTCTCATCCTGGAGTGAAGTTCCCGTATCTATTGTAAAGACTGCTGGGTGAAAAGAAGCTACCTGAATACACCGCTACTCTAATATGCAGGGTGTGAAATTGTCATATGATGGCTAGCGGGTGGCCTCTGATGTCCAGGACCTGATGTTTAACCCTCATCTCCAGCATACATCCACTGTGTAACCTACATTCAGTCAACTTACCCCTCTGTGCCTCAGTTTCCCTCATCTGTAAATAGCCCCCCCCCCCAGAGGGTTGCTGTGAGAGAAAAATGGCTACTTTTAGTAACATGGCATGCTATTATGGAGTACTTAAATTCTTATTAAACATTCAACAAATGTTAGCTTTTATGATCAGCGAATCTGTCTCATTCCCGATTAGAGTGTTTATGCTGAAAATGGATTTTTTTTTTTTTTTTTTGAGATGGTTGCTCTGTCCTCAGAAGGGAGATTCCAAACCCAATAGGAACATGTGAGAGCATCTTCATCCAATGCTTCGGTGGCTATGTTGGAGCCACCTCCCCTCAACGGTTTCCTCCTGGATCATGAACCTAAACCACCCTTCTGTTTATTCAGAATTTCTGGTCAACTAAGTTGCTGTACTGACCACACAGACATCTGCTTCCTCTACTGCGTTCGGTGCTTCTAATCTTCATCGCCACCACATGTGTTGTTAAGGATGGCATGAAGCAGGGGCCTCTTTCTCCGTCCAGCTCCCTGGACCACAGTCCCCATGCCACACAGGCGTGCTCTCTTCCTTTCCAAACCTCACCCCAAACTTTCCACTTTGTTTCATGTGATGATGGTGGCTCAGCCCGTTTGGACTCTGCGTACATCTCCTGAGTCTTGACTCTTCTTGAAATTCTGCTGAAAACCTCTTTTACTTCACTCTTTGTAATTTTTCTTTTGCTTCGTTTGACAGTATTTAGAGCCAGTTATTTCAAAAAGCTTCTAAGTAACCCTTTGTCTTTTTCTATTGCGACCAGCATTAGGAAATATTTTTCAATATGAAATAAGAATTAAACTTAATGGAAAATGCAGTGTGTTTGTGCTGGTTTCATGGAGCTTTGCCTGTTGGAAATCCATTGGGCATTCACTTCCAGGTCAAGGGCTGGACCACAGTGATCTGGTGAAGACATTTCATCTTATAAAACTCTTCAAATTC